GGTGTATATCAGTATGTAGTGTCTCTACTTTAAAGAGTCCTCTCCTGCTGATGTTGAGGTGTATATCAGTATGTAGTGTCTCTACTTTAAAAGAGTCCTCTCCTGCTGATGTTCAGGTGTATATCAGTATGTAGTGTCTCTACTTTAAAGAGTCCTCTCCTGCTGATGTTCAGGTGTATATCAGTATGTAGTGTCTCTACTTTAAAGAGTCCTCTCCTGCTGATGTTCAGGTGTATATCAGTATGTAGTGTCTCTACTTTAAAGAGTCCTCTCCTGCTGATGTTCAGGTTCATATCAGTATGTAGTGTCTCTACTACAACATGTCTCCATGCTTTAATGTTCAAAAAGCTGCAGCCCCTCTTTTCACCCTCTGTCTGAAACCCAAGTCTGCTCTGATTGGTTAGCTGGCCGGCTCCCTTGTGATTGGTCAACCACTTAGAGATGTCCCGCCCCTTAGCCATCACGTACAATGTGTTGGAGCGCTAGGGGGACACAGAGATTTGATCCTTTGCAAACCATTTACGTGCACAAAAACCTATATAAAAAACGACAGGAAAGTGAAAACCCTAAAAGCAGAAGCCCAAGACTCCTCCTTCATTAAACTTTTTGGAATTTCCTCACACTCCGGGCCTTTTCTATTTGTGTGTAATAAACCAGCTGAATAAAAGTCTATGAATGGATAGTAGGAGGTTGTGCCCTGTTAACCAACGTATTAGTAGACGGCCAACAACCAACACATGGATGTTCTAGCACAAGCACATGATGTTAGGGTATAAGAGAAGATTTTTTTTAACAACAAGCCGTCTCTTTCTCTCTTCAGTACATCATTAGCTGCTTCCTCACCGATGTCATCCTCGCTGCCATCAGCCATGACGTCCAGGTAACACACAACTACAACAACACACCCCAAAACACACACAACACACACTTCTTCCTCTCTGATTCTGTCCATGTTTGTTTTTATCCGTCTCTTTTAGATACAACACTTCTAGTAGAAATGTCCTACTGGATAAAAATACACTTTGACACAACAGTACTTTTCCCACTTTAGTTCCTGAGAACTCTTTAGTTCTCATGAACTAAGAGCCGATCGCGTTCACACCGGAATAAGTTCCCTGAGGGAGGATTAGGCAAATGAAGCCGCTGACGTCACTACTTCTTCTTCTGCTTTGGGTTTACTGGCAGTCCGCAAACCACTTCACGGCGTATACTGCCACCCGGAGTCCCCGGCCGGAAGTCGCCGGAGTTGGGGACTGGCTTCAGTAGAAGCTGCTGGGACTCCCAGCAGCTTCTACTGAAGCCTTCCGAGTAAATTGCCAGAACGCCGACACCTCCTAATCTCCACCGCTCCCATGTTTTCTTTTGTGTTGCCATAAGTTAGTCTCTCTGCATTTGTGCGCTGGGCTAATGCTAATGCTAATAATGCTAATGCGAGGATAATAAAATGGCGGCTTCACAAAACCTTTTGGGAGTTTTACGGGGCGTGGTTTGCAATCCGCCCAGCCAATCAGACATAGGAACCTTCTCATGAACTAATTTGAGTTCCGGCTCTTTTTGGTGTGAACGCGACATTTCGGAACTATATCGGAACTAAAGGGGGAAAAGTACTGCGGTGTGAACGCGCCTATAGTAATCAAGCTTATTTGAACGAACCCTTTAGTGTTGGGTCTATAACAGCATTTAATAAATGTATAGAACAATCTGTAAATGTAAGTGTAAACAAAGGAAATATGTACCGTCAAGTAAAGAAAGAATGCTTTAAATATATATTAAACTACAATACCTGAGTAAATGTACTTTCTACCGCTGTTCTTTCTAGTGTTTTTTTGTGTTTCTTGTTGACTCTGTCCGTCCTGCAGAGGGCGCTGTGCTCCTGCTGCTGGATCTTTCCTCACAAACTGATGGTATCTTCCTCCTCTCATCCTCTCCTTCCCTTGTCTCCTTGTCTCCTCCCCCCTCTCCCCCTTCTCCTCCTGCAGGGTGTTGATGCGTCAGGATCTGATGCGTCAGCAGGCTCTGGAGGAGGAGCAGAAGGAGGCTCAGCAGCAGCTCCTCCGATCCGCTGACTCCTCCTCCCCCATCTCTGTGTCTCTCTCCTCCTCCTCTGGACCTCCTGCTCAGGTCCCTGTGGAGGTGCTCAAGGTAAAAGAGGAGGAGCGTTGGTTCTGAACATGATGTCTGAATGAAAGTGGAGATATTCTGACTTTTAGTCCAAAAACACTAAATCTTACATTTCCCAGAATCAGAGATGGCAAAAGTAACACATCCTTTACTCAAGTAGAAGTACAGATACTCGTGTTTAAAAATACTCTGGTGAAAGTAGAAGTACTGACTAAACTTCTTTACTTAAGTCAAAGTAAAGAGGCTTTGAAATGTACTTCAGTAAAAAGTACCCATAACTAACAGCTGTTTTAAAGAGTACCTGACCTCCCTTTATATTAATAGAACAATAATGTCATTGTTAGCTAATGAATGTTTCCATGCTGAACAACGGCAACATGACAACGTTTCCATTGGTCCCTCTTCTTTAGAGAAGACCAGGAAATGATGGATACACGGATCGTGTTCAAATCAATAGGCACGCAATGACTCTAAATAATAATGATCACGCACCAAACACACATTCAGACTAAAGGAACCAGCTGTTTGGAAAATGAGAGAAGTAGAAAGTTCAGGTATTTGTGTTCAACATGTAAGAAGTAGAAAGTAAAAAGTAGTCAGAAAAACAAGTAGTGGAGTAAAGTACTGATATCAGAAAAATGTACTTAAGTACAGTAATGGCACATTTCCACTGCAGCGGGGTAGCTCCGTTTAAGCGTCCTCGCTCAGGCCTCGGGCTGCCTCGCTGGCCGTCCGAGGCCATGGCGCATTTCCATTACAGTTTAGGACCTGGGGTAGCAACGCAGTGTAGGCGGGGCGATCGGCTTCACATTTCGAGTTGTTCCGTCGAGCTCCCGCTGGATTTTATCATCCCCAATGAGATGTAGGAACGTCGTCACCTCCTCGGTCGACCACGGTGTGCTTTTCTTTGACGTTGCCATTTTTGTAGCTCCTCCGTTTACAAAAATGCTGTGTATAAAAATGCTGCAAGCTTGCTTCTAGATATAATCACACTCTCGCAGACTTTTCCGGTGTTTCTAAATTAGATGACAATGTATGTGTGTCGTTTAAGAGGAAAAGATGCCTGGTTTTTTTGTTGTTATTACTGTCAGGAAATGTATAACCTAACCCTGGTCCGCCCAGTAGTAGTAGTCAGATCGCTACTCCTGCTGATTTTAAAGCTAGGTCTGGGTTGGGTTTCATCCACTTGAATGTGCGCAGTCTGTTAGGTGAACTAGATTTTGTCCGTATCTGGACAAAATCGACTGACGCTGACGTCATTGTTTTATCAGAAACATGGCTAAACAAATCTATTTTTTTCCTCTGACATTGCCTTAAATGGTTTTAATGTGTATCGTACCGACCGGCCTAATAAAGGTGGTGGCGTTGCCATTTATGTTAAGAATAAGTTCAGTGTAACCACATTAGTTTCCAAATCGATCAGTAAGCAATTTGAATTTTTAGCCATAAATATAGAAGTGGCAAAGGGTCAACAGGTCATGGTAGTGAGTTGTTACAGACCCCCCTCAGCTGTCAAAGACTCCTTGTCTTCACTAGCAAATCTTTTATCACAACTACACTACAAGGAAATAGTGCTACTTGGAGATTTGAACTGGGACTGGTTAACTGCAGTGTCAGAGGATTTTAAAAACCTTTGTATCTCTTTGAATGTTACTCAGATTGTTGACAGTCCTACTCGCCCTAACATTAAGTCCCCTAATAAATCCTCCCTAATTGATCTCATTTTAACTAATGTTCCCCATAAATATTCATCTGTGGGAGTATTTGCAAATGATCTGAGCGATCACTGTGTTGTAGCCACAATTAGGGACACTAAGGTCCAAAAGGTTAAACCTCGCATTATCATTAAGAGAGACAAAAAACATTTTGTGGAGCAGGGTTTTGTGCATGATCTGTTTGATTTTGATTGGGGTAAAATCGATCTGTGTGCTGATGTGGAAACCGCATGGTCTTATTTGTATCTTGGTTTTATGGAGATCATTGATAGACATGCACCCCTGCGTAAATTTAGAGTAAAGGGACGAGACAATCCTTTCAGTTTTCTGCTGAGCTGTCTAGTCTTCTTCATGAGAGAAACAAGGCCTGGGCAAAGGCTAGGCAATCAGGCTCAGAGGTAGAGTGGCTGCGTTTTAGGCAGCTAAGGAATAGCTTCACTTCAAATGTCAAAAGTGCAAAGTCGAAGTACTATTTGTCAGTTACCACAGAAAACCTAAATAATCGTAGGAAATGTTGGAAAGCAATAAAATCGATATCCACCGGTGAGATCCGTAATGAGCTACCTCCGTGCCTTACCACAGCATCTGGCACTATATCGGACAGGGCCATCATGTTAAATTGCTTTAATGAGCATTTTGTGTCCTGCTGGTTCTCTATGTTGATTCTGTGACTAACTCTGCTTCTGTGAACACCCCAATCCGTGACTCTGAACAATGTGGTCTGGAAAACCCTTTCAGTTTTACTCATTTTACTGTCAATGTTGTTCATGAAGCCTTATCTAAGCTAGATCCTAAGAAACCGGCTGGTCCGGACAATTTAGAGCCTTTCTTTTTAAAGATAGCTGCAGATTTTATTGCTCTTCCTCTCACTACTCTTTTTAACCTCTCCCTCAGCACAAATGCAATTCCAAAAGTATGGAAGTCTGCTTATGTCTTGCCTTTACTAAAAGGAGGGGAGGCAACTATTTTAAATAACTATAGGCCAATCTCTAAATTGTCAGTTCTGGCTAAGGTGCTCGAACGCCTAGTGAGTGAACAGGTAAAGGAGTTTTTATGTAAAAATGACTATCCTGTCTAAACATCAGTCAGGCTTCAGAAAACAACACAGCACCATCACTGCCACAATGAAAGTGGTGAATGACATTACGAGTATTTTAGACAATAGGCAGAGTTGTGCAGCTCTATTTATTGACCTTTCCAAAGCGTTTGATACCGTCGATCATCGCATCTTAAAGCAGAGGAAACTCAGTATCGGCATATCCAGCCATGCAGTAGGGTGGTTTGTGAACTACCTCTCTGAAAGGTCCCAATGTGTTCACTTTGATGGGCTGTCTTCTGAGTGGTTAAACATTGCTAATGGTGTTCCCCAAGGTTCTGTTTTAGGACCACTTTTATTCTCCATATATATCAACAGTTTAGGTGAAAATGTGGATGAAGCTACTTTACATTTTTATGCTGATGATACCGTGATGTACTGTGCAGGTCCCCTCCATTAAGGAGGCTGGTGTTAAATTACAGGCTGTTTTTAACATTATTCAGACTCAGCTCTGCTGAACTTAAGCTTCTTTTAAATGTTGATAAAACCAAGGTAATGCTATTTTCAAAAGCTAAAAAGACACCAGAGCCTGTTTTCGATATTGTTACTATGCAAGGACAAGTACTTGAAGTGGTTACCTGTTACAAATACCTAGGTATCTGGCTTGATGATTGTCTTACTTTTAAACTTCATGTCAATAACCTGCTTAAAAAGCTGAGGGTTAGACTAGGTTTCTTTTTCAGAAACAAGTCCTGTTTCTCGCTTGAGGCCAGGAAAAGGCTAGTCACTGTGACCTTTTTACCTGTGCTGGACTATGGTGATCTGGTCTATATGAATGCACCTGCCCTATTGCCTGATCAAGTTAGATGCCGCCTATCACAGCGCACTGAGATTTGTCACAAATTGTAAAGCACTTACTCATCACTGTACCCTATATGCCAAGGCAGGTCTGTCATCACTTACTGTAAAGAGGCTCAGTCATTGGTACACGTTTATCTATAAAGCTTTGTTGGTTAAACTCCCGTATTATATCTGCTCTCTGATAACACAGAGAGTTGCAAGCAGCTATTGTCTGAGATCGTATGATGTAGTATTGTTAGATGTGCCAAGAGCAAGGACTGTCTTAGGTAAGACAGCTTTTATGTGCGCAGCTCCACTTGCTTGGAACAATCTTCAGCAAGAATTGAAACTGAGCAATCTCATTCCTCTGCATGTTTTTAAAGCTAGGCTAGATGAAATGCTTGTTGATACTATGGCCACTTGTAAATGTCTATAACTATGTAAATGTATCCTGTAAATATAATGTATAATGTCCTTTATTGTTTTATGTTTCATGTGGAACCTATATGCTGCAGGTCTCCCTTGAAAAAGAGATCTATGATCTCAATGGGACCAATCTGGTTAAATAAAGGTTTGAAATGAAATGAAATGAAATATGCGACGCTAGGGATGATCTCGCGCGCGATCTTGTGACGATTCTCTCTGACCAATCAGCAGTCGAGAGTGTTGACGTCACTAGTTCAGCCCTGGCCTGATAGAACCACGATTTTATGGGGCCGGAAAAATAGGGAAAAAGTACCCGCTAGCCGGTGCTACAGCTATATGGAAAGGCCACCAAAAACTGGCCTGGCCGCTTGAGGACGATATAAGGACACTTAAACGGGGCTACCCGCTGCAGTGGAAATGCGCCATAACAAAGTATTTGTACTCCACTACTTCCCACCTCTACCCATAATGCACCTGAACACCTGTATTGAACACGTTGTTGCTCCCTGTGTCTCAGGTGCAGACTCACCTGGAGAACCCCACCAGGTACCACATCCAGCAGGCCCAGAGGCAGCAGGTGCGTCAGTACCTGTCCACCGCCAAGACAGCCAATCAGGAGCCAGCTGGACTTCCACCAAGCCCCTTCCCCCACAAACTGCAGCCTGCAAACAAAAATGAGGTAAATACAAAGAAATAAAGTGGTGCAGGAATGAGTCCTAAACCTAGAAATAAATCAGTATTTTAGTACTTCCTGTTACTACGGAGGTCAATGTTTTGTTGACAGTACTTTTAGTCATTTTCCGAAGTACAATGGAAAATCCTAATGCTTTTTTAAAGGGAACCCTTGCGTTGGTAACTTCCTACAAATATGCATCATCACTACACTACTCTGTACGATATGCGTGGGACTAAAGGTCAAACCTCTCATCTGATCTGTGATTGGTTCATTCAGATGGAAGCGACGGTCATCGATGACATCATCAGCCTGGAATCGAGTCTGAACGACGAGTTTCTGACGATGATGGACTCGGGTCTGCAGATCGCCACCACGGTAAAACTCACCGGATTAAAATAAGGTTAACACTAGCATGTGTAAGTGTGATTTACACCGACCACTAGGGGGCGATAAGGTTCTGCCAATATGGAATAATAGCTTCATTATAACACTTATTTAAATAATGTTAACTAGTGATAATGATCAGGGTTTGTTGGACAAAAGTAAAATGATTGTGATGGTTTCACTTTGAGTCGTGCTAAAATGTTTCATTATTTATTTTATTATCACTATTGATTAATAGAATACAAATTCAACAGATGAACCCAAAAAGAAACCGTCCGACTGGATCAAATACTACAATAGAA